CAGTTTTATGATAAGTACTTATGTCGAGTGACCCTGCACCTCACACGGCTGAGCAGTGCGCCTAAGCAAGGTTACTAAGATTCAACCTTCAACAATTATCCAGCTAGATCAGTTGCTATAAGCTATGTACTCACTGTTGGCTGTCCGTCTCTTGAATATTCATAAATATCATTAATTTATGTAAGCCGTGGAATATTTTATTTGAAATACGTGTTTCCTTGAGTCAGGTTAGGTTTTTTTTTCATATAAGTTGTTGGTTTACTCTTAAGATAATGTCCTCAACGGAATGTTTAATAACATATCTAAAAAACCTTCGTCATATTTTATGTCGTGGTGGCCCGGAGGTTTAAGACGCCCACTTCTCATGCATGAGGGTGCGGGTTCGAAACCTACCAACGGCAAGTACCAATGTGACTTTTTCCGAGTTATATGTACTTTCTAAGATTATTCAGACACCACTGACAAACGGTGATGGAAAAACATCGTGAGGAAACCTGGACTTATAATTTCTAATTATAAGTTTGAATTCGCCAACCCGCATTGAGCAAGCGTGGTGATTAATGCTCTAACCTTCTCCGTGTGAGAAGAGGCTTTGCTCAGCAGTGGGCATTTATAGGCTGTTGATGATTTTCTGCCTAAGGTTTATCTAATCTATCCTATCTATCTATTCTAAGGTATCTTTGTCGTAAAAAGAGAAAAGAGCTAGAGACAACGAAATCGCTTTTAAAAAATCTCTTCTTACGATGCCTTACTATTTATGACAATTATAATTTGCCCATCTTGTCCACCCCTTAACGAAACACCACTAAGCACACTTCACTACCCACATGCATCAGCTACACGAAATCAATTCATTAACCAGTTTAATTCCTCTCTACTAAGTAACCAGTCTACCATGACTTTCGTCATCAACTACAAACAATTAACAATCATGCAGTGACTTCAACATCTAAGCTATTTCTAGTTCACTGTCTACTGTTCTCTCTCTTGACTTTTACGTAAAATCCTTGACATTGTACGCACGTGTAAACGACACAGGTCTCCGAATCGATTTGTTTTTCTTGTATCAATAGTTACGTCACATTCTTTATAATTAACAGCTATGAGCTATGTACGTTCGTAATGCTGTTTAAACAGTAAACAGTCCTAAAATAAGTGATCGGCCCATTTATAAAATTGCAGAGTTACCGCGTGGGAGTGCACGTGATATGTGAAATGAGCAAATGACACGTCGCGATGATGTCTGCATAAACATGACTATGGAATATAAGAATGTTGCCTCCTTCAAATGTGGTAACATCATACATGTTAAATATAAAAATCTAGTATATACTGGTTTAATGAAAATCGTTAAAAATAATTTACTAAGTATTAACGTAGATACCATACCTATACGTAATTCAAATAAACAAAGAATAGGAGTATCTAAATGTTAGACTGTAAAAATAACAACAAACGATAACGATGACCTATAATTGTTAAATTCTAATGACTCTAAAAACATTTGCGTTTAAAATAATGAAAAAAAATTATTATTAAAAAAACAAAATACCCGACTGCACACTAAAAAAAGAGTAAAACAAGCCCCACAATAATATTGATCAATCAAATGCTAAAAACTAATTATGTAATACCGTTTAAACAATACCTATATTAAAATACACTACAATATGTGTTCGTAATCGATAGTTAAATAAACAGAAACTTATTTTGAATACAAATTTACTGAATATAATTTATAAATGTTGATGGAAAGCATCGCAGGCGGGGACCAACAGAGGCTTATTTATAGTCATTTCGGTTGTGCACCATTTAGCAGAATTTTCGTTGGTGGCGGTCAAGGTGGTCCCCGCCTGCGATGCTTTCCATCAACATTTATAAATTATATTCAGTAAATTTGTATTCAAAATAAGTTTCTGTTTATTTAACTATCGATTACGAACACATATTGTAGTGTATTTTAATATAGGTATTGTTTAAACGGTATTACATAATTAGTTTTTAGCATTTGATTGATCAATATTATTGTGGGGCTTGTTTTACTCTTTTTTTAGTGTGCAGTCGGGTATTTTGTTTTTTTAATAATAATTTTTTTATTTATAACTTTTTAGCTGTTTTTATTTAACGAAAATGTTGTAGATGTAGAAGACTATCGTCAACGACGTGTGCCCTCATGCGTGTGCCCGCAATCGGGCTGTATACTCGAGCATATCCCCCTCCGCACCGCGCCGCGCGCCGCATGCCAGGCCACGCCCTATCTTTTTGCTTGCTAACGCATGAGTTGCTTTGCGTTGACGCAGAATTAACATGTTCCCGTGGGAATTTTGAGAAAAAACGTATCCTATATTAATTACTCCCGTGATTGAAATGAATCTAATGATACCGCATACATATTTTTTTAAAGGGAAATTTAGAAAAAATATTATTATGTCTTTATCCCGTGGGACTTTTAGGATAAAATGTATCCTATGACACTCCCGTAATCAAGACAAATCTAACGATACCTCATACATCAAAATCCATCAAGCCGTTTAGGCTACAGGTGGTCACAAAGGAAAAGACATACATACATACTTACATACACTCGAAAAACATTACCCTCCTTCTTTGGCAGTCGGGTAAATAGCTCCGACGCAAACTAATTAAGAGTCACTGCACAGCAAAATGCAAACAAGGCAGAATTTTCCTAGAGCTTAAACTATACATAAATACAAATAGGATTTATCTTCTCATTTTTTACTATGTTAATTACACTAGAAAAAAAATTTAGAACAATTTTCAAGCGTCTAAATTGTAAATATCTGTGGGTTATTAATAAATAATCAGTAGATATTCGAAGCACAGCATGGGCGGACACGTGTTCCAGTCGGTCACGTTGTGCCCCTCGAGGTGCGTTGCGCAAACTACAGAACAGTCTAACCGCCATCGTGACGTAATGCAGATGATAACCAAACCACGCGCTCTACTAGGAAACCAAACTTTATATCTTTAGTCATACCTAACAAAATCCACGCACCAGGTGACACTGATAGCGGTCTTAACAGATATCAAGGGTAGTGCCCAAAATTGCATTGTAGAACGTGTTTGAAAATGTGTTCTGCCAACGTAACTGCTTCTAAAGCACTTTTATTTTATCCATGTGCAATTTTATTTATAACCTTGCGTTCACGTTTTCCTTTGCACTTATTTGGGTGCATCAAGGTTACGGTTTTAATTACGATTGCTATTATGACTCTTTATAGTTTTTATATTGACAATTTTCCTTGCAATGAATTACTTTGATTTTATGAAGAAAAGAGAGGGCGAGTAATTTATCACAGATAGGCATTTTTCATGTCATATCTGCACTGCACAGTCTAATGATAACTGCGTAATTTCCAAGCAAGTCATGACAGTAATGATAATGTAGTCTGCAGTCTAACACTGTAAGCTAAATTATTTAGAAAACAAGTCACACATTTATGAAGCAACAACTTAATAAGTAGGTACTCATATTTTTGTTGATAATAATTCATACACATTCACATTCAAGTTTAAAAATAAGGATTACGAAAAGTTGCATGCTAAACCCGTCGTATCCTATTAAAACTCAATTGATTAATGGTATAAACATACTGTCACTAACACAAAACAGATATAATATAATATCTACCGAAGACGACGAGACAATTACCTAAACAAATAGATAGTAAAAGTGAGGCACTTGCCTCGGGGTGTTCCTAGACCTGGCGAGAGCGTCTGACACCCTCCCGCCTAATCTGCTCCTGAAAAATTTTAAATAATTAGGCATTGAATGCTTCAATTTATACCGAAGAGAAGGGAGGTGGGCTTTTAATAACCGCTAACCAAATTAAAATTGTACCATGTTATTGATTATTAAATTATTAACATGTGTTTATTATTGGTGTTCCTCAGGGTGCATTTTGGGACAACGTAACATCTAGTCTATAATTTAAAGGATGGAGATGGTTACGGCTACAATAAATATGTTTACTTAATTGACGGAAGTTCCACATGGTAAACACAGACTTTTGTAAATTAACAAGAAATCTGTAATATAATATGTTAATAATATAATTTGCAAGCACATCGTTCAGCCGCATGATAGTTTTGCCTTATCATTATAAATGATACACGTGCACTAGTTTATTTAGTTATGCGTTGCCAACCCTTACCCCGCTTAGTAACAGTCAACTAACATCACACCATGCCACCCAGCAGTTCCAGGTAGCCTCTAGACTCGAGTGTCTAATGGCCAATTCTCATAAAATTAATGTTTATCAAAACAGTTAAAGAAATTAGATCGACAGATCCCTGTTGCTGGCCAACTGCGAGGTCCAGCCACAGACACACACATGTAAAGCTTTTCAGTAGTATATAAGTCCATATAATCTTAGTTCAGATGTTCTTTTGTTCATTATAATTTTAAAGCTCATGCTGAGCACACGTGTAATTAATAAATAAATATTTTTTTATACAAATCTTGCGCGTTCATATTTGACTGGCGCAGCCGGGTCGGATTAGTAAATCGCGTACAAGTGATCGTTTGTAGACACAGAAATCGGTCGTAACGTCATCCTAGTCGCATAGATTTCTAATCTGTAAAGAACCTAAAATAAATAAATTCGTCAAAAACCGCAAGCAGCAGCAGCAGCAGCAGCAGAACAAGAACCGGCATGGGATCGAGCAAACTGTGAGTAGACCCTTATTTCGCACTGTGTTCCTTTCCTTGTCTCTTATATTGGTTATTTTTATTGGACTAGACATCGCCAGTAAAGTAATACGTTTACCTTTGGACAAAAATCGCCAAACGGTAAACATAGTATAATATCATAGCTTTAATATAACAAATTGGACTCACATCGCCACTTTGTTACTGAAGAAATTACTTAAAAATTAGTAGTTTCACTTTAAATATCGACAAAAATTAGCAATTAGGACTAAAATCGCCAAATTTGTTAATTGTTTGCCTTAATTATAAATTAATCTTACTATTAAATATGAATATCCAACTTATCCCAAAGGAAATCCAAAGCATCATCCCTAGATTCGATGGAGATGATAAGCTATTAAACCTCTTTATATCTAAATGTGAATATGTCATTAGAAGTTTTAGAGGGGAGAACAACCCAGCACAACAAACATATCTATTCCACTGTATAACAAGTAGGCTAGTAGGTAAGGCCGCCGTTCTCATAAGCGAACGTGAAAACGTTACTACTTGGGAAGGCCTAAAGGAACTCTTTGTCCAACATTTCGGTGACCCAAGATCCGAAGCTTGTATTAGCATCGAGTTAGAAAATCTTAAAATAAAACAAGGCGAATCATATATAGATTTTTGCCACCGCATACAAAACGTAAGGAGCTCATTAATATCAAAAGTAAATCTCCTAACCGACGAAGGTATTAAAGCCGCTAAATATATAATATATAACAATACAGCCCTCAACGTTTTCCTTTACAACTTACCGGAAGATCTAATTAAATTCGTTAGATTAAATAAGTGCGACACTTTAGAATCAGCATTGAGTATCGTTACCGAGGAAGTCAATTTCCAAACCAGATATAACTCTCGCAATAAGAACAAAACTAATCCTAGTAACACTAACCCTACTTCGAATAACCCTAAACCTACCCCTACTGCACAAATTCAACAGAAGTTCGGGATTCCAGCAAATCCAGGTTTTAAGCAACAGAACGCGTTTAAACCTAATTTCAATCCGAATCCTAACCAGGTTAACCCGCGATTTGGTTTCCAACCCAAACCTCAACTACAGAATCAGGCCCAAAAGCCCCAGATTCCGCATCAATCGCAACAGCTTCCACGTACAATAAATAACTATAAGCAATCGGGCTTCTTCAAAGCCAACCCCAACCAACAATTTCGATTTGGTGTTAATAACCCACCACCAAGACAAAACACCGACGTATCGATGAGAACGGTACGAAACAATATGATCGAAGAACCTTTCGAAACTGACGTTAATAACGAAGTATTATACTACTTCGACGGCAATAGCTGTATAGAACTCGTAGAAGTCGCAGATGATAATAACCAATCAAATTGCATCCAAAACGACACGGAAAATGAAAATTTTCAAATAGAAGCCTCTGTACCGGACCAGCAGAAGTAATAAAATTAAACTATACTGGCCTTAGGTTACCCCATATTTACTTACCTGAATTAGAAGCATTTTTTCTAATAGACACAGGTAGCTCGCGATCGTTTATTAACGAAGAGTTAGCCGACCAGTACTTTCATTATTATAAAGATATTGAACCATTCGAAGTCATCAGCACTCACGGACGTAGCAAGCATAACGAAGTTGCATGCGTCCCTCTAACAGACACGTTTAATACAGACATTAACCATAAGTTTTACATATATAACGTAGATCAACAGTATAACGGCCTTATAGGCTCAGACCTACTTAAGAAGTTAGAAGCTAACATAGACATGAAAAACCAAGTCTTACGGACAAACACAACTGAAATACCCATTTTATATAATCCGTCTTACCAAATCGTAATACCACCAAGATCGGAAACTCGTGTTAAAGTGCCAACAATGCTAGACAATGGAGAAGCAATCCTAAACCATGTCGAATTCTGTCCAGGAGTTCGCATGCCAGACGCTATAGTTAACTGTGTAGACTCGTTAGCTCAAACAGTCATACAGAACACCACCGATAACGAAATGACAATAACGTTTAAAAAACCTTTCACTGTATATAATATAGACCAGGAATTACTAGATACTAGTTGCCTAGTAAATAACTTACAAAATAATTTAAACTTAGACAGGTTACTAGACGAGAATTTAAATAAATTGCGTCTCGACCACCTCAATAAGGAAGAGAAACACTTAATTTCAAATTTATGTACAGAGTACAAAGATATATTCCATTGTGAACACGTACCTCTATCGTTCACAAATCAAGTTAAACATAAAATTCGCACTAAGAACGAAGACCCAATATACATACGTCCATATAGACACCCAGTTAGCCAAAATCAGGAGATACAGAAACAAGTCAATAAGCTATTAGAAAATAACGTAATTAAGGAATCACACTCACCTTGGAGTGCCCCAGTACACCTAGTCCCTAAAAAGATGGACGCCTCTGGTGAACAGAAATATCGTATGGTCATAGACTATAGACGACTTAACGAAATAACAATAGATGATAAATACCCATTACCTAACATAACAGATTTATTTGATAGATTAGGAAAAGCATCTTACTTTAGTACAATAGACCTAGCTAGTGGTTATCACCAATTGGAAGTGGAGAAAGATGACCAACCAAAAACTGCATTCACAACCCAGTCAGGACATTATGAGTTTACTCGAATGCCCTTTGGTCTAAAGACAGCTCCAGCTACCTTCCAACGAGCAATGGATAACGTGCTCCGTGGACTACAAGGCATACATTGTTTAGTTTACTTAGATGACATAATTGTATATTCAACCAGCCTTCAAGAACACATAGATAAACTTAGAAAAATATTCGACAGACTTAGAGAAACAAATCTTAAGGTTACGCTAGATAAATGCGAATTCCTTAAGAAAGAGGTATTATATCTAGGGCACACTATAACAAAAGACGGTCTTAAACCTAATAACGATAAAATTAAAGCAGTTTTAAATTTCCCTTTGCCTAAAACACCAACGGAAATAAAAAGTTTCCTTGGATTAGTAGGATACTATCGTAAATTCATTAAAGATTTCTCTAAAATAACACAGCCATTAACTAACTGTCTTAAAAAGAAAAATAAAGTCACGATAACTAAAGAATACATCAATGCCTTTGAAAAGTGCAAAGAATTGCTGACTAATGCACCTCTATTACAATTTCCCGACTTTGATAAACCTTTTCTCTTAACAACAGATGCGTCTAACTACGCACTAGGAGCAGTCCTATCTCAAGGCCCCATTGGTAGTGATAAGCCAATAGCTTTTGCAAGTAGAACACTTAACGATGCCGAAACGCGCTATAGTGCTATAGAAAAGGAACTATTAGCAGTTGTTTGGGCATGCAAACATTTCCGACCTTATTTATATGGTAAAAAGTTTACTATATTAAGCGATCATAGACCATTAGTGTGGTTAAACTCTATTAAAGAACCAGGTAGTAAACTCAATAGATGGAGACTTAGACTTTCTGAATTCGATTACGAAATTAAATACAAACCAGGTAAACAAAACAGTAACGCAGATGCACTATCGAGAATAAAAGTCAACGCTTTAGATGACGTCTCAATGGTAGTTAATACCGATGACTCAAAAACCATTGTCATTACATCAGATGAAGATGACAACATTACCAGTAACTCTAAAGATAGACCTAGATCGCCCTATTCAATACCCTCGATAGGAAGCGAAACAGTCACAGTCTCGGAAACAGGTGACTCTCCTTCTTTAGCTACTGTCCATTCAGAAGAGAATACCGATTCTTCTGGCATCCCAATACTAAAAGAAGCCATAGATACGAAACCAAACCAAATACTCGTATACACTTGGCACAAAAACGAATGCAGCGTTAAAGACCTATCCAGGAACAAACAAAAAGTGTTTGAAGTCCACTTACCTTTAGATAAACCCGATTTAATTAAAGATTACTTAAAAGGTTACATTCGCCCAAAGGTTAAATATTTTATATATTTTGAAGAACCACGTCATCGCCAACAGTTCTCAAACATAATTGCAACCCTCTTTAAAAAGGATTCAGTAAACATTTACGAGTGCACTGAAAGAGTCATTTACGTAGAAGACGAAAACGAGCAACGAGAAATAGTCTTAAAATATCACATTGGAAAAACATGCCATCGTGGTATTAAAGAAACCGTAGCTCACTTAAAGAGAACTTACTATTGGAATAACTTAGAACAAACCGTAGCTAGTATAATCAACTCCTGTGACCTTTGCAAACAAATGAAATACGACAGAAAACCATTAAAACCCGAATTACAATTGACTCAAACTCAAAACAAACCATTCCAAGAAATTTTCATGGACATATTTTCAATAGAAGGAACTTATTTCCTTACTATTATAGACGCGTTTAGCAAACTAGGACAAGCGTTTGAAGTATCCAATAGATCTACACCAGAAGTTATTAGAGCATTATTAAAATACTTTTCTATTTATGGTGTCCCACTGAAAATCAGTGCTGACCCAGGATCTGAATTTAACAATAACCTATTGAAAGAAATGTTAACTTTTTACAAAGTAGATTTACACATAGGAACACCACATAACCCAAACTCTATGGGATTGGTCGAAAGATTTCACTCGACTATCATAGAAATATATAGATTGGCTAAGTATGAGCGGAAGATAACCGATGCCGCATCAGTCATGACTTATGCTATCATGGCTTATAACCAATCGATTCACTCAACTACTGGTTTAACTCCATTCGAGGTAGTCTTTGGACACACAGACGCCTCAAGTACTTTTGCTGTAGACTTTAATAAAAATTACACGCAACAATTAGTATCCGACCACGTTAAGCGTACTAAATATCTATACAATTATCTAACAAATAAAATGCTACAGTCTAAAGAAAAAATTAAAGAAAAACGCGGAGGAGAAAAACAGTTCGACATAAAGATAGGCGACGAAATTTATATGAAAGGAGTAAATACAAGACGTAGTAAAGATAAGCCTAGATACCAAAAGGCGACAATCATAGATGAAGTGAATAGGAATACGGTAACAGTTAAAGCCCGTAAAACAAAGAAAATACCACTTAAAGACATTAAGCGCCCTTCACAGGTTCGCCCTCGTGATAGCGGTGCAAGCGACCCTGAGCCTGGCCCTTCAACTTCAAAGGATTGAAGATAATCCGGGAATTCTTCCTGTTAAAGAAGGACAAGCTTCGCTAAGCCTCTATAATTGGCATATAATTAAAATCCTAGACTTAGATTTAGTTTATAAGAATTTAGATTACAACATAGGCAAGTATTATGAGATTTATAGTTATATGAGAGATAAGTTAGACATATACGTTTTAGATGGTAGTCTCGTTGATGCTGAGTTGCAAACCCAATATATAATGAATATAACTGTAGAACGCTATAACCAGTTAATCCCAAGCATAAGAATAAAAAGAGGACTTATCAATCCTGCTGGATTTATAATTAAAGCTCTTACTGGAAACTTAGATAACGATGATGCAGTTAGATATGATAGATTAATAAGCAGTTTACAATCACAACAAAATGTTATAATGAATAAAATTACTTTAGTTTCCGAAATAGTTGATACATTTGTTAATATCACCAACTCAACTAGAAATAACTTTATAGTACTAGAAAAAACTATTAAGGAAATAGAAGAAATTTTAAACAACACTCAGTTCCAAAGGAGTAAGAACCTTGTATTAAATACATATAACATGTTAATTCATAATTTCCAAATATTATTAACCCGCTTAGATGAAGTAGAGACAGCAATAGCGTTTAGTAGACTTAATGTATTACATCAGACCATATTAAATACAACCGAATTATTTTACATTCTTACAGACATCGAGAAAACAGATAGGTTAGCATTTCCTGTGACTATCGAAAACTTAGTTAATATTGAACATTGTATTGATATCAAAGCTTATGTAAAGGGCAAACAAGTAACTTTTATTATGTCAGTACCAATAGTCCAAGCAGATGTCTATAATTATTATACTTTACATCCCTTTCCTATGTACAACTCCCACCTTGACCTATCATTTATGATAACTCCGAAACATTCCCATATCCTTGCGAAAGGGTTGAAAATAGTGTCGCTCTCCCAGCCTTGCAGGGAAATAGACGAAGGAAAATTCCTTTGTTACGACAGCAACGTGTCTCCAGAGGAGGAAAATAAATGCATCATAGATTTGATGACGTTCTCTACGAAGATAACATCGTGCCTGCCTCTACCTGTCAACGCATCTACTATTAAAGTCAAATCTATACAACCAGACTCTTGGATAATATTCGCAGGTTTTCCTACATTCTTAACAGAAATCTGCGATAACGACATGAACCAACACGACGTCATGGGTACCTACATCTTAACACTGAACAATGCCTGTGAAGTGAAGCTTGGTACAACTACGTTAAGAAAGCACCGTCTTCAAGCAGGAGA